TAGGACGGCAGTAGTTCTAAGAGAAATATTTCACATCAAACATCTCACTATTTTCAAAACAAGTGCTAGGCCACGCCCTCCCCATCTCTGGGATGTGGAGTGTAGCTGTAGGCGTGACAGGGATGAACAATTGCGGGTTCAGGCAGGGATGAAGCCGTCGTGTCCGTAAGAGAACTTGGTGGCATAAGGGGAATGTTCCTGCGCCCCTAACCCCCTCTTCTGCTTGAACCGGCAACTGTACACAAATACGTCGCCCGCGACGCCTTCCGTAGACAATTCCTCTCCAGATGCTGGGATTCAAACTGTAGGTCCAACTACAGAAACACGCAATAAATCTCCCAAACTGACTTTACCATTACTTCTTTCTTCTTTCTCCTTGTTCCCTTCCTGTCTTTTTCTTAGAGGCTGTCACTACGTACGCAATAGAAACACCGTGCTATTCTTCTTGTCCGTTTTCTCATCGGCTTCGTTTTCAATGTGTTCTATGGGTCTCCTGGAATTTTTAAAGTTCAACCTCAACCAGAAAAGTGAAGATGAGCGGATATGCTTTAAATCCACACTCAGTGTGGGCTGAATCCAGCTAAGGGTATCCGTCCGGGTCTCTAAACCCAGTAAGCAGCAATGCTGATTCGACCTTGCTTGGCACCGGAAGCCACTGTGGCATTGCAAACCATCGTTGGGTATTGTCCACTGGGGTCGTACTCAGTCGCTAAAGACTAGTAGGGTTGTATCGGAGTGGAAAAACATTTTCTTGTGTGTTTTTGTTACGCGATATTTTTCACGCGCACTGTATATCTCTTAGTCGGCTGATGCACGACCATGCGATTTCTGGTAACTGATCGGACGTGTCTACCACCCTTCGCAACCCATTCCCACCTCCCACCTGTCAAAGGTAAATGAGGTAAATTCTTGGGCTCGTCTAGTAAGATGATTGGTCGATTAGTCGGTTGTGGAAAGAGGTCGTATCGAAGAAGAGAGTTCAGAAGGTCGTACCTCTCCAACCTTCCTCGAGGCCGAGAGTGCTTATAACTCACTCCACATCTGGTCTGGTCTCTTCCACTCTCTGTGTCCGTTGATCCTTTCATTCTTGCCCTTCATCTCCTCTCCGCCACGAACCGTTCACTTTCCTTCGCCGATAGGGCTTAATAATGTGTGTTTGTTGGAGAAAAGGTGTTTTAGAAAAAAGAACAGCAACTGCTTGCTGAAGAAGCCGCCCGCTCGGAAGTTGCTATCGTTTCTATATGTAAGGAAGGCAGTGCTGCTCAGCGATTTGTTACTCACTTGGAATCGACGCTGAAAGCTGAACTAATTCAATCCACCCAAACTGTGGCCAATTGCATCTTTAAATAATAAAGAATTCGCTGTTTTCAAGGTTAGTTTGTTTTGACGTTCGATTTTGATTTGCGTACTTCTCTATTGCTTTACAATGGAAACAATAACAGTACAAGAAAACAAAGGATAATCCTAATTTTGAGCCTGACTTCTGAACAATCTTGTCATGAAAAACTTCTAGGATAAGGCGCAGTTCGGCTTGGTGGGGGCATTTTGCTGGTTCACACCGATCACTGCCGATGCCTCCTGTGGAGACCTGCGAATTCTGTGAAGCCATGCAATAGCATGAGCTTTTACACTTGACGAGAGTGCACAGGTCTCACCGAGTTGAGGCGTGTAAGCTAATATTCACTCGAAAAAAGAATCTAGCGAAAGTGAAACCATTGCGCCCCCCCCCAGAATAAACCGCGCTCTTTTTTGCGAAAGTTAAATCCCACCAATTGGTCGGAAAAAATCTACTAATTGCTGAAATTATGCCACAATTATGAATCATAGAACAACCAAAAAATGTTTGGAAGTTCGCCTTCTATACGATTAATCACGAAAATGGTATTATGGTGAAATGGAAGATGTATTCAGGGATTTTGCCTCTTTGTGGTGGAGACGCTAACGGGTGGAGGCGCGCTTTGCCGTCATGTGAATGTTTTCTGGAATGGCTTGAGGATGTTGCAGCGGATGCTAAGCAGAAAAAGAAGTCAAATTTTGACGCGTTGAAGTTTGCTATAGTTGGCTTTGGCTCTAGCGAAGATGGAGAGAATAATTTTAATCGAGTGAGTAAACAAATGTTACCATTTTTTAGCTTTGAAGTTTTTCTTTCACCTTTCTGGTGGCTTCTAGTAAGCTCAGTAGCGGAGCTGTTGTTGCAGGAGAAGGGGACCGTCGCATGCTTGTCACAAGAATCTGAACCGAATAATTCCCGGCTGAACCGGACGCGGTCCACAGCGCTGCAAATTACGATTGTCTTCCATACACCCAAAATAGGGGATAATTCGTTGGGGATGTAATTTACCTATCCGGTTGTTACTTTCAAGTTCACGCTCTTCCAGTTGATTACAGTACAGTTCCTCTCACGATTACCTTGCAGACATCTACCACTTTTCGCATAATTCTGAAGGTCCAAGGGTCCCCGCAGAATTTCCAACTACGGAGTATCTGATGAGAATCGGGTAACGAGAAACCCCTTTCCCTATGCTGTTTTTCCACACTGTTTTCCCACTCATTGGCTCAGGTGAAAAAGCAGAATCACACCGGATCATTCCAAGCGTTGAAATTTCTTTACATCATAGCCGCGGAGATCTGTTATCGGCATCGCGCTCACTACAGCAGCACCGTATCGTCGGCGGGTTCCCAGACTTCGATTAATGTAGGCAAATTCAACATAAACGATTTCCATGGGACATTCCTAGGTTTCTAGCGTCATCTACAGGTACAGAGCATATCATCGTTGGGATTTCCCCAACAGGAGGGTCCTATTTGCCTTTTCGGTGTTGGGAAAATTTTGTTCTCGCTGTAGAGTTTTCGCGGTTTTCCTGTTTCACATGTGCTACATATCAACCCCTCCCCTCACCCTCCCCCGCTCGCCAGCCAGGGCACATCCTTGTTGGGAATTTCCAGGGGGGGGGTCGTGTTTGGTCGCT